TAGGTTCAATCTCTGTCAGGTGTTCTTAATTCTAGAGTTTCAAGAATAAGACTTCCTTCCTAACCCTTTATTGCAGGGGAAGGTTATTTAGTGTCTGGATTCCCATAAGGGCACATGGAAACGGTCTCTTGCCAGAAGCAGCAGGTGTTTGACCAAGAGAAGCCAGTTGTCATAGAAGAAACATCTAATTTGGGGATTGAACTGATGGACAAAGCTGGAGATGAAGAGAAGCCATGGCAGGAGCTTTTTAGAAGAGTGAGGCAAAAAAAAAAAAAAAAAAAAAAAAAGACAAGAAATAGGATGAATGAAAAAACTGGGGGGGTTTTCCCTCATCAGAAAGTTACTGAGAGGTATGGAAGACAGCAGGCCTTTTTCAGAGAAACACCCTCTCTTAAAATGTGTCAAATTGAGCTGGTAGAGCAATATTTCTGTATTCTTATACTGTCATAAAATAGGTATTAACTTCCCTGATTACAGGTGTCCTCATCTTCTTCCCTTTTCTACTTCATGGACATTCCCAGCCTCCTTATATTCTCACACACTTTGCTGGCATCAGTGTCTGCACTGCAGAGCTCTTGGTTCAGCCCCTGCAAAATACCCCAACTGGTGGGACGCATGCCTCCATAGGACCCTGTCAACCAGGAAGTTATATTGAAAATAATCATAAAAATACATTGTTGCAGTCCCTGCAGTGGGTTTTACACTATTTAATGCTGTGGTCATGGATAGTTCTGGTAACTCCAGGAATAGAACTACCACCCCCTCACAGAAAATGGATTGTTTGACATTTTTATTAGCTTCTCCCCTTGTTCTGTGGAGATGACAGCCAGTTACCTACACTGGCATGACTGGTAGGAAAGTAGGTAGAAGGAAAGCACAGCTGACAGCATCTTGCAAGTCTGTGATGCTAAATCAGCATCAGTGCCACGTGTCTTCTCGATGAGGACAGAATTGAGAGGTAGAGTCGTGACAGTGTGTTTGAAGGTGTCCCTGTGGTTCTCCCAGCTTGCTCTCTCAATGTTTCATCTCAGGTTATTAGTATTTATAAAAGCATGCCCTTAAAATAGCTTCATGGTCTTAATAGAAGCAAAAATAGCAGTTCCTGTGCTTAAGTTGTTCATAGCGGGGTAAAATAGGGCTAAATTGGGCAAGTACAGAAATCAGAATAGCATAACCCAGTTTAAGGGTGACTTTCAAATCCCCTTCATGTCTTAAAAATCATTGACTTTAAGTTAAAATTTAGACCAGGATACAATCCTTCCTGCTTTACAGAAAACCTTTCTCCCTTTAGCAAGTATAAGATTTGAGGTGACTTTTGCTTCAAGACTGCTTAAATCTACTCACTAAGTCTTCTACTCAGAAGTGGAGCAACCACAAAATTCTTCAACTTCTGAAAACATATTTCAGAAAAATCTTTCAGATTTGCATTTGAAATTTGTAAAATAGACATGCGGACATGTGAATAATGAGAAAATAAAATATAAGTCTTAAAACACCTAACACCTTCCCACCACCCCCCCCTGCTTTATTCTGATCTCCCCTCAAGTGTCACAGGGGGATGGGAATGGGGGCTGTGGCCAGTTCATTGTTTCTGGTCTCTGCCACCCCCTCCTCCTCAGTGGGAGGACTCTTCATGCTCCCTACTCCAGTGTGGAGTCCCTCCCTTGGGAGACAGTAGGCACACAACTCTCTCACCATGGCCTGCACCTGGGCTGCCCATGCTCCAGCTCCTGGGGCACCTCCTGCCCCTCCTTCTGCGCTGACCTGGCATCTGTGTGGAGAGAGAACTGAAAAAAAATTATTCACCACCTATAGAATATGGGGAGGGAAGCATAAGAAGCATTGCATTTATTTTCCTTATCAAATTATTTCTTAAATAGGAGCAGCAGTCTGTATGTGTCTGTCCCAGGCACAGTGGATCAATGACCTTCTGGCACCAAAACTGATGAACTGTTCTTCTCTAGACAGTGTTGACCATGTTTCACTGAGAAATCCATGTCTTTTTTATTTTTCAAATTCTCTGTATGTCTGTAAGTAGACTGTGATTATTGCCAGATGAGCCACAGAAAATATTTGAAGTAACATACTGCATGTTCTAAGGCAAGACAAGGAAATACAGACTATTACAAGTGTATCCAAATTCCAGCCTCACTTGACACTGGAGTCGGTCTCAATCATATCAGTGAAGTATAAATTAGGTTCTGGACAAAGAGTAGAAAAATTAGTTACTTTATCATGCCTTGGCATAATTAAAAGTAGTTTTAAAAATTGATAATCTGAAAGACTTTGTCATCAGGTTGTTTGAGACTGATATTTTTCCTGTAGTAAACTACTAATTGTCGTATTTGCAATACTTAAATATTTCTTACAACTGTTGTTTCAGAAAGGAAACAACACAGTAGCTGAACTGGGAGCTTTTCCCATTTTTGTTTCCTTTAAAATTTGCAGTTGCTTTAGACAAAAATGTTTGTCTGTTTTGCTGATTTTGTATTTGCCAATGCTAAAAAAATATCCCATATAAGCTGCAGAGGCTGATAAATTATTTTTTGTGGTTTAATATCAGGCAAATAAATCTTACCATTACTAATTATTTTTTGACCTTGCATAAGAGAATAGGATTAGACTGGATACAGCTGACACTGATTATGTGAGACAGGATGTTATTAAATCCCTTTGGGGAGCTTTTAAAAGATCCACCACATTTAGAGAAGAGAGGTTTTCTCTGTCTTAGCTCATTTATGGAGCAATTACATGTGACTTACTACAAAAACCATGTCAGGAAACACACTGAACAAACAGCTAAAGTGGAATTTACACCACTCCCATCTCTGTCAAAATATCTCACAACCTCACAGCCTTAAAATATTTTGTCAAGGTTACCTGTAGCAAAGCCATTTGCTGTATATCAGCAAAAGGTATGAGATATATTGGATTAAGAATACATGGAGGAGAACTTGTAATGGATATGAAGGCAGCAGAGATTTCTCATTGCTCAAATGGCTTCTTTGCACCAGGAGCCCAAATTTAATTAATTTTTCAGGCTTGAAAATGTTTTCAATTTAAGCCATCTCAGGATTTTTAAGTTTTGTTTTTCATTACAAGACTCCTATAGAGGATTTCTTAATGAAGTGCAGAGAAATATGCAAAATGTACTGACTTGAAAAACCTCTGCACATTCTGAAAAAAACCTGTGGCTGAATTTTCTGTTTTGTTTGATTGGGGTATTTTTTTCAAAATTAAGATTGCTCAGGTGATTTTTAGGAGTAGTTTACAATTTTGTACCTAAAAGTATGCAAATACAAATGGAGAGCTAGGTAAAGACCATTTCTAGAACTGTGTTTCTACAGCTGACTGCTTTCCTAATATCCATAGCTGAGAATGAAAATGCACAGTAAGGTGCTACAGAACTGTGTGTATTAAATATGTACACATTTATTAATTATGATATTTGCAGTTTGAAAACATTAAAAAAGCTGTTGAAAGGGCATAATCCAAAGTAATACAGACAGTTCACTGGAGAACCAACAGTACCGAGGTGTTACACTGCAAAGATTTATTCTCAGCCCCGGTTTGATTTCAAAGTTGATATTGCTATAAATTCATGTGATGACAACACTTAATACTTGGGCCCTCACTTTTTTTTTTGTCTTCCTTGTGTGTCTTTACATACTAAATCCAAGTCCAGTATGGAAGAAGTTAAAAGATACTGAAATGGTTTTTCCTTAGGCACAACTCAGTGGTATAACTAAAGTAACCATGCTGGCATTCACTTACAAGTTTTCCTCAGGGTGTCTCAAAGACCATCAGCTGGCTGCCAGTAGTCCTTGACATGAAGCCAAACTCAGGGCAGACTTAGAGCAGTGGCAAGAGTCTCAGCAGGGTTATCCTTTTGCATAAACACTAAGATTCTCTGCTGCTCTCTGAAATAGCAGTCCTGAAGTATTTAATGTATGTAAAGATGTGTTCATCTTTACATGAGTTACCCAGAAGGTCCATACGTTGTAGTAACCACTGGTAATTGATGGTGAATACTGGAGGGTAGGATTTTCTGCATGTGTAGTGGTCACTGACCACAGGGAAAGTTTATGCAAAGATTCTGGTTCATAAATGCAGATATACTTGTGTCAGGAAAAATTGATTTGTATTGTGTTTGTCCTTCAAGGAATGTTATGTTGTATTTCTGATATTGCAAATGAATAAAGCAATACTGTATGAAGTGTTCTGCATGGCCAAATATTGTAGTCCTTACTCAGAATTTACTCAGGAAAAACCACCTTTGACTTCAGTGAGGATTTGCTTGACTAAGGACTGCACAGACTGTTTTGAATCTTACCAGCATTGCTTGACGCTAATGTTGGGCAACAGTTCCCACTGCTAATTTGCCTGCCTCGTCCTTCTCCTGGGCTCAGGATCTGCTTTTGCTGTGTGTTATTCATAGCTTCTATTGCTAGTTCAGATTGCTTCTCTTTGTGCTTTTCTTTCCCAGCAAACATTTTGCAGCTATTGTTCTGCTGCTGGTAGATGAGCACAGAACCTGGTATACAGGACTTGAACCTCAGCCCAGATTCAATTAAAACTGTTAAACATGTTCTCACTATGGTGCTCAGAAGAAATTTTGATGACCCTCTTTCAATGAAGCATAAATTTGTTTAAGTTGATGTTTTTAGAATGCAAAAATAGAAGGGCTTGATTCACAAATCTTAAGACCAAACGCGTCTGCAGTAAAATATATGGAGTAGCACCCATTTAGAGACATCAAAAGGTAAATTGTAAATGCTTATTCTGCCCTACAAAATTCAGCCAAGAAAGTTACTAAAGTGTGTGCTGTAGCATCACCCTGTTTTGTAATTTTAATACTGCTTTCAAGTAAGATATCCTGAACAATAATTAGTACCAAATTATGCCTTAGCCTTCTGATACGAAGCAAATCTTGCTAGGTTATCACTCGTATGTCTTATGAGCCATACCTAGCCATGGTTTATCCTCTATTCATGCTACAGGGTACGCAATTCCTGGGTGCCAACCTGCCTATGGCAACCTAGAATTCTCCAGGGCAGGCTCGCAAAATCTTCACCTACTCTCTGGGACAGGTAACTAATAAGCGATGTTTTGTGAAGTTATGCTTTCTTTCTAACTTTCTGATGTCCGTAAAAATGTTTCATTTCTTCATGTTAGTCTGTGGTCTCTCGTTGTTCAGTTCCACTGTGTTTTCTGGACTAGGAGAGTAACAGCAGGTCTGTTTGTTACAGTACTCTAGATGCTTGCCTCAGCCAAGCCTGTAATAATTCTTATTAACATGCATAAGAACTGAAAGTTGTTTAAGGAGATGCAAAATCTACAGCTGCCTGCTACCAGTTAATCTCTTTTTCTGATGGAGTAGTTTGACAATACAGGTGCATTACATTTCACTGTTGGTACCACAGTTATCTGGGCAGTTCACCCACCTTTCTTAATTGCTGGTATGTATATATATTCTCTTTCCTTTATCAGGTTTACATTAATCTTGTATCTCCTGAACTAAGGATTTTTCAATGCTATAGGTACAGAACACTGAAAGGATGGAGCAGTTATGACTGATTCTGGCTTACATTTCTATGCAGCATGTAGTAAAAGTTGAAGTAATGACTCAGTTTGCCATATTTTTTTTTTTTAATCCACTGTCTATTCTTTTTGGTTGACTTTATTTCAAGTGGCAGGTATGTAGAAGAAATGTCATTCACTAATCCTATACCTTTCAATGAGCTGTGAAATACTGTAATATATTTCAATGTAAAAAAATTATTAGCTTAAAAACTAAAGACAGTAAACTTCAGATAGGTTCCTGCAGTCTATTGATTTTCTCTGAATACAAGATAATGTGTAAAAAGTTTCAGCTTAAGACTGCTGATAGTGTAAGAAAGACATAAGTGAGATTCTTTTTGATTTTTGTTTTTTTCACATGGTCTACACTCTGTGGAGTGAAAAAACCCAGCAATCTTGGAAAAGTCGCTTGAATTCCTGCTTTTCATTCCCCTGGGATTCTGCAGGAACACTCTAGTCTTACCTGGGTTTAGAAGATCTTGGTGCAAAAATAGCTTTGCTCTGCTGCTGGTTCTTGCTAAAATCAAGAGACAACCAGTGAAGTGAAACATAATCCAGACATATAAAACTCTTTTACAAAATGTTCAACCCTAATTCCAACTTGGTTAAATATTTGGAAGTCCTTTAAAATTGGAAGAAATTCACACATCCACAGTGTGATCACTGAGTTTGATCTTACATTCTGTTTTAAAATGGATGCCCACACGGAATTTCTGAGTCTTGGGATGATACTTAGTCGACTTTCTGTAGGGCTCACTAAAAATACTTCTTTTTCCTACCATCACTATCTACTTGTAGTTGTTATATATGAAAGAAAAAAAGCTTACTCTTGTAGAGGACAATACCACAGTTTATCTCCAAGTGTACTACAATTCCAAATACACAGATCCAAGATTTTAGCTCAGCCTATTCAGCCATTTCATAAAAAAATAAAAATAAACATCCATTTAAAGATAATTTTCACTTTCCTATGTGCATTTGAAAAGCTCACAAGGATCTAAATTTTTAGAGATTTTTTTTGTATTTCCTGAAAGCTGGCTTGTTTCTTTCCTGTTGAGTAACTCAGATCTTGCTGTTTCAACATATCTAGACTGTAAAACAATATCTGGAAACTCACTTTCTAGTTATACTGAAAAATACCACCTTGCTGAAGGAACTAATAAAAAACCCAAACATTTGTTTGGTAAAATGAAAAATTACAAGTATGTCAAGTGTCAACATTTACAAAATGAAGATAGTTTCTATTTTATCCAGCCTGATGCACCTTAACCTTTAAAAACCTAATGAGGAAGCAGTAACAGTATCAGCAGGAGAGTTCTAGTAAAAACCAAAGTTTTGATTAGCCCAGGATGCTGAAGTAGCTCGGTTATAATGTACAAAAGAAAAAAAAAAAAAAAAGGCCTGTGTTTATGCAATCCACATCTCAAGGCACAAGAGGAATTTTTGGGAAAGTCTGGAGTAGTGAATCTGCTTCCTCACTCTCTCTGAAGGAGCACATTGTGCATTGCTTTTCACATGAATAGTGTGAGCAGCTTTTCCATGAACACCTGCTGCCTGACTTGGTCCCTCCAAATCTACAGAGAGATCTTTCATTTGCTGGCTTACTCCAAAAACTACCCAAGAGCCAGTGTCAAGGTACAGGCCTGGTAACAAGAGTTTGGAGGAATGCAGGAATGCAGTCCTGTTCCAACTTTCCCTGTCCTCCTTTCCCATACAACCACAAAAAAAATTAAAAAAAATTAAAAAAAAAAAAAAAGGTGACAAACCAGAGTCTTACACTGAGAGCAGGATAAAGTACTGAACTAATAAATTATGACATTCAGCTGGAAGGAAAGTTGTGTGAAATGGTGGCATAACATGCTGAGCCATGGGGAACTTGCTAGAGGTGAACTCATTTATACTCTTGCAGAGTAGAAGACTTCTCAGTTAACAAGTCCCAAAATAGTGTGCTGAAGTGTATAAAACAAGGTAGGGCTGGAAATAATTAGCCACAGATGACAGATGGCAACTCCTTTCTCTTTTTTTCCTTCTTTTCTTTTGCTGTAATATCAAGTTGATCAAAGAGCTGAGGATCATTTATTATGGTAGGAAAACTAAAAATATCTTGAAATATTCAGGAAAAATAAGTTCATTCAGGTACGAGCCAGTAGCTCTCATTGCTCCTTTTCAACACCTTGTACATGAGTCTATGTGTAGTAATAGTTTCCCTCAGGATCTGAATTACGTGTGCACAGCTGAGAATTTGGGGGTGTCCTGGCTTAGGAGTATTATTTAATCAATTTACAAAATGCAAATTGTTAATTTATTTAATGTAATTGTTTGCTTATGTTAACAAACCAGTGATCTATTGTACTGCCAGAATGTCCTCCAGAAAAGTGCCCAGAGCTCACCTGCAGGTCACTTGGGCAATGTCATACAGCTGTGTGTGCGCTAGGGAGCAGAGGCTGCAGCAGAGCTGACTGCACCCACCACCTCTGGAGGTGACTGAAGGGGCAGTGCTGCATCTCACTCCAGGCAGGACCAGCACTTCCTCCTGTGCTCCGTAGGAATAACATCTGGCAAGCATGGACACTGTTTTAAAGGCAAGAACATATAGATTCAAGTTAGAGACACAACAGGAGCTTCTGTCTTGCATGACTTCTGTCACAAGAGAGGATCAGAACACAACTGTAACAGATATAGTTAAAAGGAGAATTCAGTAATTTGCTCAAATAATGTAATATGCACTGCTCATAAAGGAAAAAAGCAGCAGCATCTCTAGTCCCAGTAGTAAGTCTGTCTGACTGGTTCACAAGCCAGAAGAGCATATTTGATTTTTTCAGCTGCTTAGCATAAACTTTCTGATGGAAGTGTTAAGCCAACACACCTAAATGAGTCTCTTGAGCAAGACAAAGATGAATTTCAAATCAGAGGAAAGAGAAAAGGATTGGAAAAGGAAGGAAACAGCTAACAACAAAGATTAGAACCTCTGCCCATTAACCTATGTTTGGATGTTTTATACCAAATAAAATATGAACAAAATTCTATCCCTACTGCTAAAGCACATTTCTCCAGTATTCCCTTACCACACTTCTAACCTCAGTCCTTTAATAGAAAGAGTAAGATCAATTTCAGATTGCTTCTGGCCAGTGGGCTTCACCCATTCTCATTACATTCCTATTACACATAAACTGCACAATTCAGGAGGAAACACACTTCTGTTCCAGCACAGCTTGATCCAGATGAATTGAGGAAATGAACAGACAAAAACAAAAGTGAGAAAGGTTTAATAACAGAATTAAAATATAACTTTATAAGCTTGTGAGCTGATGTGGCAGGCTGCTCTCAGTAATTTCCAGAGGGAGTGCTTATCCGTGACTACAAACCAAAGCAATCTAGAAGCTGGCCACTTAACGCTGTAAGGAGAGCTACTGCAACTGAAGGCAGCCTGCTTAATCACCTGGAGAGCTCTTTAGCTTTCTAATCACAAATTGAAGTCTACCTCTAATTTTGCTTCCTCAATTTTTCAATACCTTACTATTTTTTTCCCCTTTCTTATCACCTCTCAGTAGTCTGGATTCCCTGGTGAGATGCAATGCAGACGGGTAGGATTCTGACAGACATTAAAAAGCAGACAACAACTGCTCAACAACTTCAAATAACTTTCTGTCTGAGGCAACCCCCCCCCCCCCCCCCCCGCCCCATCGTGGCCTGTGTTACATCATATTTGTTGCAGTCAGCCTTTGCTGCTGGTTTTCTTACCCTTTCAAACCCTGCGACTTTATACTGCAATTACCGATTTCTGCTACCCAGACATTTTATGCAAACTTATCAACCTCTGGGAAGCCAGGAAACAGCACCTCTTACAGGGATGAACCCTCTTCCAGACTCATGTGAGCAGCAGTCTGGACAGAAAGCAGTGAAGATCCCTTAATCTCTAGGAAGGGCCAGGGTCATTCTGATTCTGCTCTCTTGCACAAATGCTCTCTGAAGTTTGCCACACCAGAAGTTTCCTTCCTTCTCTCCCAGTTTAACCAGCTGATTCATTTCAGATGTGCTCCAAGCACTAGGCAACATTTGAACAATGCAGAAAATATGAAGCTGGGTATGAACATGAACAGAGTCCTTCATTACGGTAAGAAAAGAAACATGTCCTTCCTACCTCCAGAGAATGAGCCAGAAAAAAAGGTATTCCTCCTGGAATACCATGCTGATTTTCTTCTCTTGGAATCATCATTTCCAGCTCTCCATCCCTTCATTTTCTAGCAATACAGAGAAAGAAATTGAACAGGCACAGTCCTTATTCAAACTTTTGTAGAATCACTTACTGAGCCTAAAGTTTTGCATTTAAGGCACTGCTACTAAGAGTTTACCTGCCAGAGCTGAAAACAATTAGATTCCACTTCAAGGAGAGCCTAACAGAGGCACTAGGAGACAACTGGGAGGAAGGCAAAGATTATAGTAACAACTTCTGGTGCTTCCACTCTTTCCCTCTGCTTTAGTCACCTTTGAAATTGGGCACAAGATTCCT